GTCAAGGTTTTTACTCTCGTGGGATTCTCTGTTATTAAAAGCCTGTCGTCTCTTCTCAGGAATATGACACAAAATGTAAATGATTTTACAGGGAATGTGTTTCAGGCGGTAGGTGCTTTATATGCGCAATTTCTATGCTTCTATTTATCGAGAATTTGCGTTTGAAATTATTTCGAATAATTTGTGTTTAGTATATTTGTTCAGCCCGAGTTATTAATCCACCCAAATATAATCAGCTCAGTTGAATTATTCACATGACTTGATAAAATAAAATGGAAATTAATTCACTACTGGCAATTAGTTTAAAGCGCTCAGAAATATTGTCATTAATCGACCGGAAGAACACATTAGTTGGTAAGAGAAAACATAATAAAAGTCATGGCCTTCATTTATTTTTTCAATACTTCCATTCCCCAAAAATAGGATTGTACTTTACAATTTGAAGATTTAACCTAGTCTTTCATAAAAATAATTTAGTGATTAAAGTTTTATTTAAAATATTTAAAGTGATTTTAATTAGGTATGACAATGTTTTGCAAAGATTCTCTAGGTGTAATACACAATTCTTTTATAACGCTATTAGGAATTACAATTAGCTCTTATACAAGGATAATTAATATTTAAACGAGAAAAATGCATTTTAATAATGAATGAAAATAACATCTTAATAATTAATTTTTGTCAATCATTTAATATACGTTTTTGTATCATAATTGTTGCCATACGCGAAACAAAAATAGAATTGCGACTGCAGCGCAGTGGTAATTAATGAAAGTACGTGTTTACGTTTACTGGAATCGAATTTGCACAGCAAGTCGCTATTACACGTGAAGTGTGTTTTTAATGTCCATTTGGTTGTGCAATTGATGGCGATTGTATGACTCAACATGAGTGTACATATTCACATTCGAATAATCGTTGCATTCAATTTGAAACGTTTTGTTCTCTGTAACAGAAATATGGATTCGAAAATATCTTTGCTGATTATTATTTTACTTCGATATTACTTTATTTAAATGCAAATGCAGATGTATTCACCCTGGCAGAATAGATTAATTCCAGAATTGACAACTGTTTGTAGTCTTTATGTTATTATTGGGCTAATATGGTACTTTTGGAGCAAAACTAAACTAAGTTTTACCTTTATAAGTGTAATAATAATGTATATTATTATTATTATTATTATTATTATTATTATTATTAATATATATTAATTATTAATTTTATAATATACTTAAAATGTAATACATTAAAAATATATAATAACATTTATTATTTATGTAATAATTATTTATTATTGGTAGTTCATAGATTGCTAACTTTGTATTAACATCTTAAGTTGTGAGGAAGAATAATTCCCATTTCAAATATTAAATTCAAAATGATTATATTTATAAATTGAATAAAGAGTAAACAATATCGAAACTGAGAATTTTATTGGAGCAAACAATCACTTTGAATTACAAAATAATATTCATAGAACTGTATTTAAGAAATACTGTTGAAAACTGTATCGTTAATATTATTTCAAATATAATAATATTAAATTATAATAATAATAATAATAATAATAATAATAATAATAATAATAATAATAATTATTATTATTATTATTATTTCAAACATGCCATATTAAAACCAATTCTTTCAAAATGTTCAATAAAAAATACAGATCTTTATTTAGAAGCGGATTGAGATTTTTGATTCGGGTCCAGATGTCAATAATTTCAAGTATTTTGCTTTAAACAAGAACTCAAGAAAACAGTTTCAATGGTCTTTCTGCCACCGTGAGCTAATAGGTAATCAAGCTTGTATAAATTGGAATTCTATTGAGGAAAGTTCCCAAGAAATTATTTTCAATTTAAACTTAGAATAATACAATTGGGGTAAAATATATTAGTAATGATTTAAATTTTAGTTTTGCAATTTTTAAACCATTTTGGAAAATTTCGTACCCAAAGATTTATATAAAATACTGTTAGTGATTTCAGAATTCACAATTATTTATACATTTTGTTATATTGACACTTGGGTTTTTATTGAACCAATCTGATTCATTAATACGCACTGTGATGTTACTGATGCAAAAGCGTCTATACCGTAGTTTCAACTAATACAGAAATAAATGTAAATTAAAGCTATATTTAATTTTTATGATAATGATTTTGACAAAAATTTGATAATGACAGTTCTTCTTTCACCAAATTCTGATTTATTTATTTATTTATTTATTTATTTATTTATTTATTTATTTATTTATTTATTTATTTATTTACGCTGAAAACAGTTAAAACTGTGTGTGACGTGCTATGGGGAGAAGTTAATTTGAAGTTACATTTATGTGCAGAACCAAAACAAGGGGCCATCTCAGCATTTGCTCGAAGATCAGGGAAACTGCGAAAACCTGATCGAGATGGAGGTCATTGACCCATAACCTGAAGTACAATACTTGTTACAGGTTACATACAATCCAAATGGTATAAAATACATTAAATGTCATTGTTAAAATTAATATTACTTTTCTTTTCAATGCTCGGTATAGTCGCTAATTGTATAGAAACAGTTGTGCAGCAGAAAAGATTTTACTTGGGGCTTAAACTTTTATATCGCATTTAATCGTTTAATGTCATCAGGCAAGGTGTAAAATAATGTACATGTATTATATGTGGATTTTTTGTAGTGATTTGTTGATACTATCACCTGATGAATATGATTTCTACGTCAAGTGTTGTAGTTGTAGACAATGGCGTTTGCTGAAAATGTATTCCCGCCCTTAAGTAAGTAATTTTTGACAAAAACCACTGATTCATTTATGAAGAGACAAGGTAATGGTAAAATACCTAGGTGAATGAAGAGAGGCTTACAAGAATCACGTAGGTGGGATTTACTTATTATTCGTACAATTCATTTCTGTAATCTAAAAGTCTGGGAACTATAAGACGTATTTTCCCAGAATATTATGCCATATCTCAGGTGTATATTTCGGGAATGAACATTCACGAAACATACAGAACGAGCTGTGTGAAGGCTGACTGAACATGAAAGAATTCTGAAAGCGATAATGAAGGTAGTCTAGAATGAGTCTTCTGTGAACCGAAGATGATTGCAAAAACGTTTTTGTAGACATTTCTGTTCAAAAACTAACGCAATGGCATTTCACACCCAGTAAGATGTAAATTAATATAAAACGCAATTTCATATAAGTTCCTTATTATATCTGACGTATAAAGATAAAATGTATACTGGTAAAAAATGAAAGAATTGATAGAACTATCAGAAGGACATTTAAAATCAAGGCCAAGAAAGACATTTAGAAAACACTGGCAGTCCCTTGTGGTCTATACGAATGTGAAATGGATACAAAAATATATATACAAAAACAAAATTTACGAGAAGGATGCAGACGGATGGATCGACAACATGAAGTTTTTAAGGGGTTATATAGACGTCACAAGGAGAGATAGGATACGAAATGAGGACATTCGAAACTACACAGGAATTTATAATCTAACCGGAAAAATTAACAATGTCAGAAAAGCTAGGAGAGACCACGACAAAAGAATGGAGGACACCCGACAAGCAAAGCACATTTTAAAGCATAAGCTAAGGGGAAAATAAATATTCGAAAAAATCGAAGAGGGTGGTCCTAGAGTTCGAAGATGGACCAATAATGAGACGCAACGTAATGAAAGTTCTAATGCTTGAGGAAGAAGAAGATTAAAGGAGAAAAATTATCCACTGTTGGCACATGGACCACCGCAAATTAATTGAAAGCAAATGCTTTCAGCAACACGCTTCGAACAGCTCAGTTTCTCTGCTCTTTGTAGGCGTTTTAGAAGAAAAGATCACACATTTCAAACTTTCCGCCTTTGAGTCTAGTCTGGCCGCAAAACCGCGCCAATTCCGTCCCAATTGACCAAATACTCATTTTTTGTACAAAGTTCTTTGACATCGATTGTCAGCTGTTTTTGGTTAGTCACATTAAGCGACTGTTTTTGGTTAGTCACTGTTAGCCACATTAAGCGACTGTTGAGATGTAATGTTGTACATAAGTCTAACTTTTGAAATTCTACAAATTTTGAATTAATATTCTGCAGCATAATAACAGTACCAATAAGGTACTGTGTAACAAAAAAGTTGTCGATCAAAAACTGTAGGTCTGAAGAGGTTAAATTGGAGTGGATTTTTTATTGCGCCTTTTCATTAGTATTCAGAAGTTTTAATTTATATAAAGACAACTTCTTACGAGCCTGGAAATGACAAAGTAAGAAAATTATCGAAACGTTGTATCAATTACATAAGAATAAGTAATGTGAACCCCATAATTTCATAGATATGTTAATAATTTAAATTTGTGATTGATAGAAAAAGGGGCCCATGTACGTGCATATGAGTAAGTCGCAAGCGCGTGGCGCTGCCTGCGGAGCGGTGGGTACCTCTGCACGGCGAGCGCGAGCGTGAGCCAGATGGAGGCGGTGTGGAAGAGCGCGGGCAGCACCTCGTTCATGGCGTTGTAGGCGTAGCAGGCGGCGATGGGCGCCAGCGGCCGGTAGTGGTTGCCGAAGGTGTACATGTAGAAGAGCCAGGGCGCCGGCACCAGCAGCGTGAACATGTCGCACAGCGCCATGGCCATCAGCACGGCGTTGGTGGGGGAGCGCATGTGCCGCTTGCTCAGCACCACCACGATCAGCGTGTTCGCCAGCATCGTCACCACCAGCAGCGCCGGCATCACGTACCCGTAGAGCGGCTGCGCGTACGCCACCTGCCACGTGCACAGACACACACGTGTAACTACGCAGGAAGTACTCTCAGAAGGAAGCGCTTCGACAGGTCGGGAAACAAATGAACAGTGCCCAAGCCATTTACAAATGAGCTAACTGTGAACGAACGCACTGACAAAATGACTGCATGCACTCAACTGCACTCAACATATTGACTGCAATGGTCAAGAAGTAGCTGTCAATGCTGTCCCTTCTTATTGTAAACTCTCTATACCCAGGGAAATGAACGTCTTGCGTGGCTCAGGGCATCAATACAAGTTACGGCGGTGCCTCTGACTCGGAGGTCCTATAGTTCGAATTCCGACGGTCGCAGGATTTCCCAGCTTCATCGAATTCAGTCGCTCTCTGGAGGAGGAGTCTAGTGACTGGCTGATCCAATCGGCAATTTTCGTTGGTTTCTCCGATAAACACCCGATAAGGACCATGCGCGATCTTTCCTTGCTCTTTCTTGACTTATTCTCTTACACACGCACACACATACACTACACATCCACGCTTGTCCAGTGACTAGTGGGGAGTTAAGAAGTTGTCCCGACTGGGGTGGTGAGTGGCTAGTACGAGGTACGAGGTTGGGGGAAACCCCGCAAGCTGTGTGTAGGTGGTCTGATTGCGCCATCCAACGGTGTAAGCTCTACGCGTGAAAACCATGCTCTACACGTACATGAGTAATGATCTAAAGAGTTGACGCGGCTGGACACTAATCAATCAATCAATCAAACCTGGTCTATGTGAAAGTACAATCACAAACCAATTATTCAATACGAATAAATTAAAACTGGGGCCGAAGGCCTTCAGGATTTTTATCGCCGCTCGATCTTTATAACCAGTACATACAAGATTTTATTTTTTACTTAACTTTAATTATTCGGATTTACTTATTTACCAATTAACTCAGCCCCTTAGATGGCTCATAAATTGCGTTGTTGCTTTCTGTGCAACAGGTCCGGGTTGAATTCCCGACCGAGGGAAAAATGAAGCCGTAGTTTTCTATTACAAATCATCTCAGTTTTAATAGCAGTGTGACGAAATCAAAGCCGAGAGAAAGTATGCTCGACACGGTGAAAGGAATTCGTCCTGCTCGTCACTTGTCTCCATTTCTTCCAGGCGCCGATAATAAACAAAATGAGGGCCCAGTTCTGGGAACACCGTTAGCTGGCAGACATTAATCCGACTATAAAATGCCAAAAACGTATATAGTAATTAGATGTTAACACGTTTTGCCTTTTATATCTCTCTCCCATAATTCTCTTTCATAATTTCCCCTCAAAATTCAACTGTTCTGCTAATTCAATTGTTTTCAAATTCCCCTCGTAACCACTATCCTCTCGATCCAGATAAGAGTTAAGCAGCGCATATCGTGTTCCATATCGAAAGCAATAAGAAGCAATAACGTATCATAGCAACATTAATAGAATTTTATCTATCTCTCTATCCATTAAGCGGTTTTTTACAACCTTAGCCGTTTTCCGCATCCCAATTTCCATGCCTCTTTATCCCACAGAACGTTTTCATCTATTTCTCTTTTTACCATTTTTTATTGCCATATTCCAGTTTTTCTCGGTCTTCCCCTGTATCTTTTTCGATTTGGTATCCACTCCCAAACTTTTTGTGGAAGTCTATCCAATTGCAACCTTCTCATATGTTGTACCATTTTAGTTGTTTCATTTCGTTCAAGGTTGTTTGCACGTTCATTTTATTTCTTATTTCATCATTTCTTATTTTATCTAACAGAGAAAGTTTATAAAATCTTTGCCAGAACATCATTTTTGTTCATTGAAGTATCCAGACTTCTGCCTATTGAGTTCGGTATTCTATATGAAGGAGCTATATATGCGTTTCTTTGTCTTCATTGAAATAATTGAGTTATATAGCACTGGATTGAACTGTCTTGTGGATATTTTTCCTCTTATATTTTTGTTTTCACATCCTGTTCGTCTCTACCATCTGCTAATAGTGTGACTCCCAAATGCTTATATTGTGTATTTCCTTTAATTATTCCTATACGAGTCTCTAAATCTTGGGACATACCTTCCACCACCATATATTCAGTTTTTTGTACATTTATTTCCATTCCCCATTTTCCGTACTCTTCTACTAATTTTCTGAATATATAAGTTACATCATTTTCATCTTCAGCCATTATCGCCTGGTCATCTGCAAATAGTAGACTAAACAATGTTTCATCACCTATTTTCACACCCATGCTTCTGCACTTCCTTTTCCATTCTTTAGGGATTTATCAATGCATATCTTAAACAGGGTTGGAGACAGCAGCCTTGCCGTAATCCTTTATTTATTGGGAAGTTGTCGGATTGACATTTTCCCACTTTTACTCGACTTTTGTTATCTTTATAAAGTTGTTTGACTGCATTTATGTATGTTGTTGATATTCATTTTTCTTCCATTGCCCCCATACTTCTTTTACCGGTACATTATCATAAGCCTTTTTGAGACACACTTTTAAGTCACACTTTTCCCTCTTTAATTATTACAATCTTTTTTACAACCTTTTTTTAAATTGAATTAATATAGGCTAATTTCCATATTTCAGATATTTTACCTCCTTTTAAAATGTCATTGAATATTTCAGTAATTAATTCCAATTTGCGTGCAGTTGTTCATAATTTATTTCCTGAAATTTAGTTCTAAGTTTTGTCAAAAGATTTTCATAGTATTTTGGCCATTTTTCAATATCAATTGATTTAACTAGTTGCCATTCTTGGGTTGTATTCAATTTCATGGAATGTAACATTTTCTATGCCTTTCTGGATTTGGTGTTACCAATGCACTTGTCTAATCTGTCACATTTTTGTTCCCAGAATACATTTTTTGCCTTCTTTATTTATTTCTTGACCAAATATTTAATTCTGTTATATTCACTTCTGCCTGCTAAATCCTTTGTGGAAAGCCAACTCAAATATAACTTTTTCTTTTCTTTGATCAGATTTTTTATGTCTTCTGTCCACCACAAGTCTTTTTGTTTAAACTCGTATTCACATTTTCCTTTCTCTCCCCAAACTTCTTTAGCGGCTTCATGAGTGCTGTTTTCTAAAAATTGGTATTTTTCTTCAGTATTTACTATTGGGATGTACTTTAATTATTTAGAGAATTTTTTTTAAATAGAATTTTAAATCGGCTGAAATAAATTAACGGGGATTTTAAGCACAGCACAGAATACAATGATTACACTTTTGAGCTTCTGCGCATTCGACAACTCTAAATCGAACTCGAAATGAAAGCGGAGTTCGATAATCTGCCGGATTTAACGGATGCCTTTGTCACATGCTAATCGATTACTCGGTCATGCTATATCGAATTTGTTTCGAACTCTCACCAAAGTGTGCTGCTAACTGTACATTGCCATCATGCACCATCAACTCGGTGGCATAAATCTGTACACAGTGTTCAGAAGCTTCCGTTACAAAAAAGTACCCCATCCCAGGCTTCCATGAAGAATGGCTTAGTCTTCGAGAAAATTGTGATTAAATGTTACTTCCAGGCGGAAAATTTTAATTGGCTGCCGCGTCGCAGCAGACACCGGCGCGGCGTGGGCCAACGGGGCTGGGTGCACCGTCGTTTCTCTGCGTTTTCAGTGAAACTGTCGAGTGAAGCAAACATCACGTACCGTACACTATCCTTAATAGTACCTTTAATAGTATCAAGAGTTTTATGTGTAAATTTGTAATGTGTAAATTATTAAATCTGTTAAGCCCACTTAAAATGCATTTTCGTTATAAATTACAACCACGGTATTGCAGCGGCGTAAAAAAGGACGCTGAACACCTTTTAGAGAGAACCAACATTTTATGGAAATTAACAACGCGATTATTTTGTGCCTGCTACGCCCAGCCTCGGTGGCAGACGCTGCGCCCTTCTGATGCGGCAAAATTTAAACTCTATTTGCAAGAATGTTTGCTTCGTAAAAACTAGATCTGCCGTGGAAGTCGACAAATCATCTGGGGTATATTTTTGCAATGTGGGCTTATGGACACTTGTATATAATTACTTTTCTCTACACACGTCAGTACTTATATTTATATTGAGTCATCATCACCATAATAATAATAATAATAACAACAACAACAACAAGAACTTAGTATACCGACCAGTGGTGTATAGGTAGCTGTAGCCGTCCGAATTTCAACAAAGACGATGTGGTAATGGATATGATACTCTTCAGCCACAGTCCGGAACTTCTTCCACTTCGACCAGTAAACCTATCTCTTGTCTTCCCCTGCTATCAGTCGAGATATTACTATCAATTGCTATACGGCAAGCTTTAATAATTGAGGTGACTTTCCTTGAACAAGTTAAACGCATACTCAGGAGCATTAATTATAACCAGAGCTCGGATTCTGATGAGATGCCATCTTTTCAGTGGTGCATTCTAGACGTAACTAACTTGTAAATCAATATTTATCACGACTTGTAGACAATAGAAATGTATAGTTATTGGGTCATTTTTTTAAACATTTGCGTTCTTTCAATTTTTAGGTTCTCTTTCTAGAACTTTGCGTCATTTTTGTCATTTCTACGCATTTTGTTTCATTTTTGTGTTTCTTGTTAGTGAATGTTTAGTTCAATTCCAGATCAAAACAAAGTTTTTATTATACCAAGAATTCATGACAAAATTCAATGATGCAGTGGACTCTATTTTTTGAACTCTCAAAATTACACGTCTCTCTCTCTCTCTCTCTCTCTCTCTCTCTCTCTATATATATATATATATATATATATATATATATATATATATATTTGGATTGTTTGTACATCCAGATGTTCATATTTTAATTTTTGTAGAATTTAGCGTATCGTTATTCTATTGCCGAAAGCGAGGGAGCCGCATACCGGTAGCTCGCAGGAGACGTTGAGGTAGGGCGGCTCGGGGGGCTCCATGGCGAAGGTGATGTTGGCGTCCTCCTCTGCCTCCAGCAGGCTGCCCGCGCGCAGCTGCGCCAGCAGCGACTCATTGGCCCGCACCACGTGCGTGCAGTTCCAGTCCAGGATGACGATGTCGTCCATGGCGGCGGGAAGCGACGGGCTCTCAGACGGCGCCAGCCTCGCCAGCCGGGGGCATCTGTGCGCACAGGAGGCATCTTGGTTAACTCACAGTGGCGTATACTGGCGTACCGAGAAAATTAGAGAACAAAAATATATCAATATAAATTATATTAAAAATAATTGTAGGTCCCATTCTTTTTCAGCGACATACATTTTTCAAGATTCTGTTCTATTGAGATTGACATTAAATTGCTCAGTCGTCGGCGCATCAGGCCCCTTTAAGAGGCGGCAACGCTGAAGAAACCGCTTGCACCCAGCGCCATCCACACAGCATGCGTCCGTTGCCACTGTGATTCAACCTCAATTGTAAAAATAATTGTATTTCATGAAACAAACAGTAAAATAAAAATAGTACACTACAAAGACTAACTATACTATAAAGACTACATTATAGGGGATTATGTACAATTATGGTGTCAAAGATTATTTCTAAGGTCAGCGGTTGCCTAGGGCATGAAAGCAGTATACGCGACGTTAACATAGCATAGCAATGCAGTTCTGATACCCTGAGATCACCAATCATGGGTCAACGACGAACTCCCCTATAAATTTACAAGGAATTTAAGGAAAAAATGTACAATTAAGATCTGGATTAAGGCCGACCTGGATGGCCGAGGTGGTGAAGAGTGTGTATCGACTCTGCGATACGGTCCGAAGGGTCGCGGGTTGGAGTCCCGCCTCGGGCATCGTTGTTTGTACCTCGTCTCTCATGTGTTGTCGCGAAGGGCCTCGCGTTCTGCTGACCCCAGATCGGAGGTGCCCGCAAGTGTGTTGGTGTGTAATGTAAGCTCGAGTATGCATTCCATCTGGACGTAAGCGTAACCGGCTAGATAAAAGCCCTAGGGAACAAATATATTAGGTAATATATTGTTATCATTGTCTGAAAGGGTTTTATAAAATATTTTCAATTTTCGAGGCTTTTATAATTTGAATATTTTCTGTACTTGCTGTCCTTGACAAATAACAACGTCCTTATTTTGAATAACTAGTGCAACAATCATTATCTTGCAATGAACAACTGTTATCTAGATTGTAAGATACTATATTAACATTTAAACGTGTTCGTGGGAAGGCCTGGCTGTAAGAGGACGCCAGAGTTTCTGCTAAATAATTACGCGTGGTGGCGGTTTCGAATATTTCGTAAATATCTGATAAGCGTCTGATAAGCCGTAAAGACGAAGCAATCGCTAAAGGTAAGAAATGTTCTAATAATAAATATCGTCTCCGGCCGCTCTGTAACACGTTTCAATTACCTAAACCTATGCCGCTGCAACACGTTACCTAAACCTCGAATTCAGCCGCTCTGCGGTGAAGAATTCTAGCGGCCGACTGCTCTAATCGATAGTTTTTTTGTGGTTTCTTCGATCAAAACCATGCAAATACCGGAGCAGTACCCTAACAAACGGGCCACGGACCGCGCGATCTTTCCTAGTCCTCTCCTCACCCATTACACAAACATACACAACACTACCTCACATTCCCAGAGACTGGTGGGGAGCTTGTTCCGGCTGGCGGGACATCCACCGCTGGACGACAGCAGGTCGGCGCTGGATCTCGCCATCCGGCGGGGGAAGACCACAGCAATCTCCCGAGAAAAACATTTACGGCACTAGCGCTCCTAGTAGCTTACGTGCCCGGAGTTACTAACAATCAATTAATCACTTCCAAGCATGTCGGGAGACCAGTCGGCATGTTAGAGCTGGTTCCGGCTGAGTTGGTTCCCCGCTGGTGGGAGACACGTGGTTGGAAATAATCAGAAGGACGACGAGTAGGTCGTCGCCGTATCTCGCTATCCAGCACTGGCAGATCACAGCAACCTCCCGCGATACAAAACATACCCTACACGTACTAGACTAATGACATTAGCAGGTGATGCGCCCGGTATCTCTAATCAATCCTTATCTAAACGAAGAAGAAGAATACTGGTACGCATCCTTGAACATCACTATCGGTTTACAGCTGTGAAGTTCATTCATCGTGGACGGACATGCCCATTATTGATGTTATATTCTTCATTAAACGTTGGATATTTAGATTTTGAAATCTTAAATTTAGGTGCCTAATATTGGCGCTTCTTCCGCGGCGGATCAAACCTCGCGTCACATCGCAATCGAAGATGAGCGTCGTTCCCAAGGAAATTGAACAAATTTATTGGACGTAAATAAAGTGTTTATTATTATTTTTTATTAGTCAATTTATTCAGCACAATAAGGCGCGCGCGGTTCCTGTCTCCTGTAGTGACCTGTCTCCAGTAGTCACCTGGTGTTGATCAGAGACACCATGAAAAACTACTTGGAGGCAAGAAGTACTGTTCCTTAAGCGTCAATGTCATCAAAGAGTTTATTGGCTCACCCATTTGTAATATATCGAATGACGCGTCTACTTTAGCAAAGCAAAATATGGTGTAACTTTAATTGCACCCTCAGTTTTTTCGATTGCCAGTCCAATAAGTTTGTTTTCTTAATATTGTGAAACGTTTTGTATAACAGTGATTGATTTAGAATATGAGAGCTTTTACACTAATATTTATTTGTGTAACATCCTTAATGTATTGATGCATCACATTAGAAATATAAACAAATTACGCATTATTTACAAAAATACACGACATCAACAATGGGTAATTAGGAGTTATATCGTTATTTTGTGAATAATGAGAATGTAAGGGAAGGGCAGTGTAATTAATAGACTAGGAAAATAGTGGAATTGATGGTGATTATATAAAATGGACACGTGAGAAATTTCCGTGGGTATTAGTAAATTACGTAAAAGAAAGGAAGAATAATTGTTTATGGAATAAACTATACAATGCGCTTATATGGGATTAGCCAATCAGAAATGAGAAGAGGTGTGAGAAAGGTGAAAATCAGCGCAGAAAAACTAAAGAGAAACGTAAATGTGTAGAGTACTGCACATCTTAGGGAAACAAATTGTGAGTACAAAGGGAGTACAAATCTCGTTTGGAGTTGAGAAAAATGCAATGGTGTAATTGAACTATGCTTAAATAGAATCTAAAACGTTTGTGGAAGCAGGCTGTCAAGAAGGCATTGGATTCTAAACAGGAAAGCTATAAAAAAGGGACATTATTTTTAATACGTTAATTGTAGGAAGATAAGGTTTTTTTTGTGGATGTTTAACGATTCTCAATTAGTATAATAAGGGATAAATGGCCATGCATGCAAGAGAAGATTAGAAGTGGATATATAAATAATAGTATTAATGGGAATATTTAAATGTATGAAGGCTTATTATTGTAAGATACATTATGTATGAAAGACAATAACTGTTTTGTTTTGATTACTATGGGAAAGTGCTATGAGTGTTTTTGTTGTAAGCTGAAGAGAATCAGATTATAAAGTCTTATTGATATGAAAACGGTTGATAGTATGTAAGTAATGGTAGAGAGAATTCCCGAACAGTAATAAATAAATAAACAAATAAGTAAATAAATAAATAAACATTTCTAAGTAAAAGAGTTGGATGTTTATAGTAAATATATACCTAGATAGTACGAGGAAAATCCTCCAGACTAATAATTACATAATTTTTTAAAGAACGTACAGAATCTCTTTCACATTTTATTGATGATATGTTCAATAGACTCCACCTTCGCATAAATGTAGGTTTCGTGTTCTGCATTCATGATGTGTCAGTATTAATAGCATTGCGATGAGATAATGAGAGGTTGTTTGCTACAGGGCTGCAGAGTAATAAAGATGACTGATGGTTTAGAACGCAAAATTTATTACATTGTATAACTAATTATCTAGCGCAACAAATTGAGGTGACATGCTCAATTTAACTGTTTTATGTATTCTAAAAGCTCGAATGGTTGCGTGTTCAGTGAAATAATTATTTCCGCAAATATAAATGTATCTTTCAACATTTATATGTTCCATCTCCACGAGTCGTAATATTCGTGTTTTGAATTAATGATGATGAAAATGAAATTGTAATTTTAGGGATATTGTGAATGTTATTTTGGGGCATATTGCATCATATTAATTGTTTCAGTGACTTATTCAAACACTATGTTATTTAATAATGTGTAGTAAAACGCTTACACAATTTCACTTGAGTCTCGGACTACAATTATAAGAATTTCCGAAATGATAAATACAGTTGTAAGCTTAGAAAAAATATGTAATATAATAATAGTAATAATAATAGTATAATAATAATAGTAATAGTAATAATAATAATAATAAAATTTTATTTGTTAGGAAAGTGAAGATTTTAGATACAATATATTACTTCTGGAAGGGAAAAACAAAGAACCATCGTAACTAAATCATTAAAATAAAATAAATAAAAGCTTTAGTGAAATACTTTTACTATTAACGTGATTCAATTATCCGTACAATAACCTTTCAGTTAAGTTCTTAGAGAGTACATTTCTTTAAAAACAGGATGATAGCGTTTAAAATAAAGAAGCAAGAATAATAGTTGATATACATAAACTACATTGGATAATTGGTTAAATTTATGTAATTTTAGAAGAGATGACTTTTTTTGAGAAAGAAATACATATAACCGGCTTAAACAGTTTTGGAAATCTTGTTTATTCATGAAACGATTATTCGAAAGTCAAAAAGTTGACTTTTTTGTTTACTTACTATTGACCCAAAAATGAGCTCACAATTACAGGAAAGCAAGCCAAGTGGCGCATTATGTATTTATCTGATGAATGAAATTCCTCATTGATTAAAATATGTCAGAATCATTTTAATATAAATATTTTATTTAGAAAATCTCCTTTTTTATATTTCTCGCAACATGAACTTTCATCCATCTTACTACTTTGACCTCTTTTTTTAATTTCGCAAACCATCAGAAATCCATAATGTACGAATCCAAAACTCGTAATGTTTGTGAGTTCCTCGTAATGTAGAGGATCATCGCAAACAACATCTCTTCGGGTCCTTGCGTTAGAAAGCCCGAATATAAAAACAACTCAAAATATACTACAACAAAATAGATATTCACTCAAATATGCAGAAGTGGACGGAAGCAATAGAACATTGCAATGAAATGATGAAGTTGGTGAATTAGAACAACCTTCTATCGGGAGATGTCTCTCGTTTCTGCAAAACATTCAATATCTGACGAATCTCCCGAAACTCAAACTTATGCCACTGCACGTATTTCCATCTGGGCCTTTTTTGCCGCGCTTAAGATTCGCTCTGAAGGGATTCCTGTGGCGGCTCTCCGGCCGCATGGGCAGCGCACAAATCACGAGAAGTTCCCTTCCGCGGCCGAGATTTATGGGCTGCCGTGGTTCTCCACGCGGCCACACGAGCGCCTCGAGCCGGGAGCCCCGACTGCTTTATCCCTGGGATGTTGCGGCACAGACGGTTCCTGTCTCGGGGACCAGCCCTTCCTCTGCCTGCGGGAATCTCGGGTTCCATTTTCTTGTAGGGACAGGAACTGCATCGTAAAATTTTCACGTGCACGTTTCAGTATGAATGTGCGCAACGCTTATTTATGAGCGTCAGCGAGGAAGAACATTTATGCCTTTGTAAG